TGTTTTTGTGTCAAAAAGTGTCAATATTAGCATTATTTTCACTGGAACGTGCTTTACGAAATGTGATTTGTTGTAATAGCCACCAACACAGCCGAAAGGCTAGACATAGTGGCAACGATAGCCCTATCCCTGGAATAAAAAGAAGACCTACTAATACACAGTCCCAATCAGGGCTAACCGTTATCAAAACACTCCCATCTCGGCGAGATTGGTGACATGATTTTAACGCTAGTGCGCAAGCGCGGGCTGATCGAGAGGGGCTCTCGATGACTTCGCGGTTCGGTGAACAAACACAAAAGCGACGTGCTATAGAATCTTGACTGGGGCAGAGTTGCCAATCCCCTCTATATACTGTCCCTGACCTAACACTGTACCTTGAGGTACTCCAGAGTCAACAGGACATAAAGAGGATCGGGTACCATCAAGCACTACTCGTGGTGAACGGTTTGATAGAAAGCCCTGAATCCAATGAAGAGTGTTAGTTTCAATTCCATCATATTTGAGTTTTAGCAGTAGACGATTATGAGGAACTTTATCGACAGCTTTAGAAAAGTCGAAAAGAATGATGTCTGTCTGAGTTACCGAAAGATGTGTTTTTTGAAAGTGCAAGTTGTGTTTCACATGAAGGATGTTTCCTAAATCCATGTTGATAATTTGTGAGTATCTGATGATGGTCTAGGTGACACATGATGCTGCTGTGAACAATATGCTCCATTATTTTAGAACACACAGCAGTCAAGGAAACTGGGCGGTAGTTGGCTGCCTTACTCCTTTCCCCTTTCTTGAAAACAGGGACAATATTCGCTGTCTTCCAGTCATCTGGAACTTCACCAGTGTCCAGAGAGTGTTGGCAGATACATGAAAGGGGCAGTGCAATAATAGGGGCCAGTATAAATATATCCTTATATTTATGTCTTTTGTTATCAACCTAATGATACAATCTTCTTTTAAAAGCGACTTTGGTTTGTTTTCCTTAAAAAAAGAAAATCACTTGAAAATAGCTCGAAAGACCTATTTCAGATAGGTCAATAGAGCTATTATAGGTCTATACAGCTCAATCGGCAGAGTGTACTGGACCTGCACAGTACTGTAGTCTGTAGGCAGACTACAGTCTACATTACAGTACAGTACTGGGGTCCGACAGTACTAGTACTGTACCTGTTTGGGCGATCTAGATCTGCTGATATGAGGGTTTCAGATTTGAAACGGATAGGATAGGGAAATGGTCTCTCTAATAGATATTTGCATCAAACCATAATATATAACATATATGTACATGTACTTTTGTAACGAACCACTGCGGAACACGCCACATGTGCTTTCATCATGATCATTACCATAGGAAAGCATGTATAATTTGAGTCACCATTTTAACCATTGAAGTTTTACAAGTCATGATATGCCAAACCTGTTTATATCTTGAGTAGAAATATAACAGCTTTTCGCTGTCAAACTTTCCAGAGGATTGTCTTATGTAATTACAGGCACATTCAAATAATTCTGTCAAATCGTCGTCAACATCGTCTGCCATTTTCACAACTGGTTATTCTAATTTAAAAAGGGACGCCGATAATCCGGATTATTTAATTATCTGTATATTAATAATTATTTCGTGTTATTTTATTATGGTATTTTAAATTAATGATATTTATTTTTGTTGAGATATCTGTAAGATTGATTATTGAACAAAAAAATATATGTATCGTATTTAATGGATAACATTCCGGCTGCAGTTGGGTTTTTTTCACCTTGACGGCTGCTAGGCTACGTTTGAACGTAAACGTTTGAAAGGAGTGGCGTCAGACAGCTGCACTGTCTCTCACTGGAACCGGGGCTGAGCAGGACCGGGGCTGGTGAGGACCGGCAAGATAGGATAACTCGTCCGGACTTGGAGCATGATATAACAGTTGGATATCTTATAACTACATTTTATAGTGTATACGGCTTATAAGAATGGTTATATGGCAGTGTTTACAGTCAAAGAGAGGAATAAAGATGGTTTAGAAATACAAGTTAAACTATATTTATAGTATTTTATCTTTGTATTCCACGATATAGTGTATACGTCCTGTGCACGGACATCATGATCAGACAGGAGATGTTATAGTGAATCTATCCGTAGTTATTAATAAAAACATATAAAGGCAGCAAAGTTTGCAGTCAAGAGGGGTGATTTGAAATAGAAAAAAAAAACATCAAATCAATCGTCAATCTCTTTAATTATATGCTGATATTGGAACGTAACCGGTAACAGATAACAGGGACACCCATATCAATATATCAAGTACTCATTATATCTGTATTAATGGATCAAATGCATAAAGGTGACAGTTATTAGAGTCAAGAGATGAGTAAATATGATTGAGAAATTGAACTATGTCTATAATATTTTTATCTTCGAGTTGCATACTAGTATAAGATCCTAAGCAGGAATTTAAATGGAAATAAAAAAGCTAGCAATGCGAACGGTCAAGAGAAGCATCCTAGTGATTTTTTTTAATGAGTCGTTTTAATTAAGAAATAGAACCCCGACTAACAAGAATTGTTATAAGCCGTATAGTCTATAACTATATAGCTAGTAGCTTATACGGTCCTGACCGGGGCCATCCTGATCAGGAAACCACGTGCTCATTATATTCGAATTAATTCATCAAATACAACAGTTGGCAAAGCGCATAGGTGAGAGATGGCTGAATGTGATTTAGAAACAATAATTAAACTATGTCTAAAGTATTTTATCTTCCATATATAGATATTAGAACGTCTACGGTCCTGAGCGAGGTCATCCTGATCAGGAACTTTAATGGAAATTATTTACGTAGGTTTTGATCAAGTACAAAAAGCTAGCAATGCGAACGGTCAAGAGAAGCATCATAATGATTTTTAAATGAAAAATACATTACATCATTGATGGAATACTCTATATATACATCTTAAAATGTACACAGTCCTGTGCGGGGGCCATCATGATCAGGAAATAAAATCACATTTGTTTGCATACATAATTACATTTATAAACAAAATATAGATCGCAGTGAATATTGTCATTATAGGAGGAGTCGTCTTAATTTAGAAATAGAACCCCGACTTACAAGAATGGTTATTTATAAGCAGTATAATCTATCACTATAGCTAGTAGCGTATACGGTCCTTACCGGGGCCATCCTGATCAGGAAATCAAATGGAAATAATTGATGTAGTTATTCATCGTCTACACAAAGTAGGCAATGCGAATGGCCAAGATTAGCGTCACATATAATGATTTTTTAATAGGAAAGTAGTTTACTTCAACAATGAAATACTTAAAACATACTTCTTATAACGAACACAGTCCTCGGCGGAGACATCATGATCAGGACAAGTCAACTTTTCCAACATATAGATATAAACATTTATAAACTAAAGATAGATCGCTGTGTATATTGTCATTAGAGAAGTCGTATTAATTGAGAAATAGAACCCCGACTTACAAGAATTGTTATAAGCCGTATAGTCTATAACTATATAGCTAGTAGCGTATACGGTCCTGACCGGGGCCATCCTGATCAGGAAACCACGTGCTCATTATATTCGAATTAATTCATCAAATACAACAGTTGGCAATGTGCATAGGTAAGAGATGGCTGAACGTGATTTAGAAACAATAATTAAACTATGTCTAAAGTATTTTATCTTCAGTATATAGATATTAGAACGTCTACGGTCCTGAGCGAGGGACATCCTGATCAGGAAAAAAAAATACCTGTTTTTCTCATGTATATACTTTCTGATATTAATATAGTCGTTTTTTACGAGTTTTTAGATTTACTGTAAAGCAAATACAGCTAATTATCAGCTACTTTCAGCTTTATTAAAAAGATAAAGAACCCATATTATATTTTACATAATGCCTGTTCATGCTTCAAAATACATCTTTACTAGAAATGTGTGCCTTGGAATCTTATCTATTTGAATAAAATGATATCAGCATTTATAAGAACGATATGTCCTACATAAGAATTGAACTCAGAATGGTTTTGTAATTGCATTACACAATAAAAAAAACTGATTTTGATAACGCCTACAGAACAACAGAGAACTTACTTATACTCCTAAGTTCAGTTATCTCATGTTTATTTAATTTAGGATAGGCCAATGATGCAGTATACCTGTGTGAAGTCAGTAAAAAGAGTTGGACCAATATCAAGTCATCAGAAAGGATGTGGTGGGGCTTACAAATAGCCAACATCTTGGGTAAAATTACAAACTTTATCTGCATTTGACCAGTCTTCAGATTCAGACATTCAAGTGATTAAATTTTTTAAAGTCAAATTTCTTAATGATCAAATACTTGGGATCTAGTCTACAAATCAGGCATCAAAATGATCAAAATTGTTGGAGTCTAATTCCTGAAAAGTTTAATATTCTAGGGACGGCGGCCATTCTACATATAATTTCATGTAAAAGCGTTCCCGAGCTAGGATAGTTTGATCAAGCAATACGATGAATGCTTTTTCCATGCTTATTCATTCTTTAAATTTTTATATATATAGATCAATAGTCTTGACAGTGGACATAATCACAACTGAAGTAAAAAGAAAATCAATAATAATATACCAAACATATGGGCATTGCCCTGAGGAGGAACATCTTGATCAACAAATTGAAGGTGTTTCCATGATTATAATATATATTTATAAATGAGTAAAGCAATACATGATTTCTTCAGTTTCAAAAGTACACAAAAGAGAACAAAAACAAGCAAAATCATGTGTTCTGTGCAATGGAACACATATAGATGTTTTTCGCTGAAACAAAAGTTTAAATTAAATTTTGAGAATGCAGTTTGTTCCCGATGATGCACGCAGATGACTTACTCGTATTGATGGGTTCTGCTAAAGATACAAAATGTGTTGAATAATTTATATAATCCCGCATAATCCTGAAGCCTAACTGTAAATATGAAAAACTAACGAAAATAACTGTTTGCAGAAAGATTTAAATAATAAATTAATAGGATTATGGTTATATAATGGTCATAAAGTGTATTTAAGATCTATTTACATATTCAAGAGTTGCTTTTTTAGGTTTTGATACAATGTGCTACAAAAGCAGTTATCTGAAACATTTTTGCTCTTTATTCTAAATGCAAGCATATGCCGTTGATTTGTACTTTTTTTTAAAATATGATATATATATTGTATAACCTCTATTTGGTTAACATTTTATCGATGAGTGTTCTTACAAAACAAAATTAGCATCCGGGGCTCACACGATCAATATCTATATGATATATCTTAAATTATGTATAGTATAAGTGATATAATATCATAATAACAAATATTTCAAACTTTATGGGAGATATCTATATATATGATACATAA